ANTTTTTTTTTTGTAATAAATTTGAGTGCAGATAAATGAGTGTGATTCCCCTCTTTAGACCAACATTCCTCTTTATTTCAATCAAAAGCATCAGTTGCATGAAGTCTTTTGTTTTTTTGTTTTTTTGTAATAAATTTGAGTGCAGATAAATGAGTGTGATTCCCCTCTTTAGACCAACATTCCTCTTTATTTCAATCAAAAGCATCAGTTGCATGAAGTCTTTTGTTTTTTTGTTTTTTTGTAATAAATTTGAGTGCAGATAAATGAGTGTGATTCCCCTCTTTAGACCAACATTCCTCTTTATTTCAATCAAAAGCATCAGTTGCATGAAGTCTTTTGTTTTTTTGTTTTTTTGTAATAAATTTGAGTGCAGATAAATGAGTGTGATTCCCCTCTTTAGACCAACATTCCTCTTTATTTCAATCAAAAGCATCAGTTGCATGAAGTCTTTTGTTTTTTTGTTTTTTTGTAATAAATTTGAGTGCAGATAAATGAGTGTGATTCCCCTCTTTAGACCAACATTCCTCTTTATTTCAATCAAAAGCATCAGTTGCATGAAGTCTTTTGTAAAGCAATTGCGTTAAAGAATTCCCCATCAGATTTTATCCTCCTTTTGCGCCCTCATCTCAGTATATATATGGGTATTCTGTTGCAGATAAGAGAACACAGGCGAGAGAAAAATCATTTAACAAACTGAAGAGAAAAAGAGCAGAGAAGTGATGAGAAGAGAAAGTTAGAGAAAGCAGAAAACAAATGAAAAATAATATGTCTGTTATCAAAATGGCAAAAGAGTGATAATTTTAATTCCAATTTTTAGTGCTCAGTTTACAATTTCGTTCCAATTCGTCGAAGCTCGTAAGTTGGTGTGCTACAGATTTCGAGACGATCGCCATTGTATCTTTGAAGATGATACGCCTGAAAAATTGATTCCTGAGAGATCGACCAACTTATGCAAGACCACGAGATTTTATGACCTAGATTTTTTTTATGTAATATTAATTATTACGAAATGTTACAGTTTTTTATTAGTCTTTTTATATATGACAATGGTCTCTAAAATTTAGTTTAGTCACATAATAAGAACTTCCCAAAAAATAAAATTTTAAAATATAATTATGTGTAGGAATTTTCTGCACCAACTCAACGAATTATATACGACTTTCGTATGTCGTCATTTTGTCGTAGAATAAAAATTTCCAGAAATTAAAATTAAATAATTATTCTGGAAGTGTTCTGCGGTTATTACACGATTGTCATTCGCCTAGTAGTCGCATTTCATTCACATAACAATAATAATTGCTTAAAATAAATTGGGTGTGCAAATACCCTGCGACAAATCCTCGATTGACCTAAATGCACCAAATCTATGTCTTATAATTTATTGCATAATTTGTTCGAATTTGATGGGGGTGAGAGGCAGTGTGAAAAACTTAATATGAAGTACTTCATAGCGGATGAAAAATAACTATTTTCACCAGAAGTTTCCCAAATTAAACAATCATCTTAACACCAATTCACCATTAAATTAGTCAGAATAGTCTATTTACAAAAATAACATCCTCCAATTGTCAGCTACTACAACTTTTCTATCACCACTTCTAATTCTAATAAAACAGTTCTTTGCAAACAATTATAGAGCATGGAGAGACTCGGCTCACAATAAAACATTCAACTGGAGCACTTAAGTCGTCGTGAGCCCACATACATTATTTGCGGCCCTCAAAATCCCATACTACATCAGAGAACATCATTGAGTGCTGAATTCCACGTAGTATTTACCCTTGCAATTCTGAAACTTACAAAGCACCTCATACTTTCCAAATATGTTTACAATGTGAGATTTCCTATTAAACGATCCATGGAATGAGCACAAGAAATATCTGGATAGCATGATTCAGGGCCAAAGTTGCCATTCGATGTATTGATGTTTATCATCAACTCAAAAATGACAGCAAGTGGTTGTAGAATCACATGACGAATTTAGAGGCTCATAAGCCCACAAAGTTATACTCTAAGAATCCGAGTTAACTTGTAGACCTGCACCAAAGATAACGGTCCGAAATTTCAAATACCCCTCTTGATTTTATTTATTATTTATTTTTTCACGAATTGCGCATCAGTAACATGTGGCGTTTCTTATACAAATAAACATACCACAAGGTGTGTTTGTAATCTATATATATATATAATAACAATTACCATTTACCAAAAATAGTAGCAAAAAAATAGGTCAGTATTTAATGCAGCCTATAAATTGTAAGTTTTATTATTTTCCTTGACTTTTTCTTTAAAAATCATAGAGAATTAAATGTTACCTTAAATTTCGGGCTTTAGTTCATTTTATTATTTAAAAAATCCGGCTAAAATTTATTAATTGTGTATGTTTATATTTTTATTTTTTTCTTATAAACAACTAACAACATTAAAATCTCGGTCTTTATATTTATAAAATCTCAATTAAAATATAACAAAAGTTTTAGAATCTTGGTCTTTGTATTTGTGCCTTTAATATTCTTTAAATTGCATAATCAATAAATTAATCTTAATTTTTTAAAAATTACTATGTTTATTTTTTATTAATATGCATAAAGTAAAAATAATTAATTCATCTTTAGATATATAATTTATAATCTTAATATACTATCATTTGTTGTAGACATTTATTACATGAATCATAAAATTAAATATATTTTAAAAAAAAATAAGAAAATTTCTTTGGATTGATTGAATTAGGATACTACCCAGGTTGATTGAATTACTTTTAGGTGCTATTTAAAATAGTTAAAAAACTTGACAGAACTTGGTTTGTCCCAGGTGACTAAGTTATGTATCAGTTCAACCACACCAAATAGATTATTAAACCTAAATATAAATTTTATATTGAATATATTTTATTATGTGAATGTGATGTAGTCCAAACTTCGAATAATTGTTTTAAGAATACTTTTATGACAACATGTTTAATGATTTATGAATATTTATATATCATTTTATTAATATTTATGTGAATTAAATAATATTTTATTATAATATTTATTAATGTACAGTAAACATGGGGTTTTCAGAACTGGACCGACATCGAAACGATCAAGCTATTTTATTAAATCATTTGTGGTTTGTTTAGATTTTAATTTATAAACATTTTAATAGATATATATATATATATATAATATATACATAGTACTTTTTGTAATAAATTTAAATAAAATGTGTTACTTAGATATCTAAATAATTTATAAATTCAAATGTTTAAACTAATTGATAAGTAATTTATAAACCTCTATTTTATTTAATTAAGTAATTTTATTTAAAATAATTTTAAATATAACAAAAATTATTTAGAAAATCGTATCGATCCTACCAGTCCAACTGACTAGTATTGACGGATTCGAGAACAAATATTTTATTCAAGCGAACTAGACTGGTTATAAATCGGTTCTCGGTCCATTTGGTCGGACTGTGTCCAACCCGGTTTAATTTAAAAACAATGAATAAATCATGATTAATGTTATTTATATATTTAATTTATAATACAATCGTAATATTGTTTTCACGTGCATCGCACGGGCCACGCACTAGTATTGGAAGTAAATAGATTTTCATAATCAGTCTATATACTATTATGAAAGGAATGATATTTTGTAAAAAATTGTATGGACTGAAAAAATCCTTGTCTTTAATAAAATTTTAATGCAAAAAATGTAACTACAATGAATCAAAGATGAGAATATTAATAAACAAATTTTAATTACCTTATAAGGCAGGACTCTAGTTTTATATCAATATCCCACTAGACAAGGTTCGACTCCAAGAAAATTCCTACAATATTTTGTGTTCGATGGGAGAATATATATGGCACTTTCGGTTGGTTCACAAAAGTTAAGATAGGTCAACTAATTAAGTAGTTCAAAATATTAAAAGAAAACGAAACATTTTCAACACATTCACATTTCAAAATAGTAATTGATGTGAATGAAGTAAATGCATTATGTCAAAAGAAAATGAAGTTGTTTAGTTACTGCACAAGTAATAATTAATAATAAACGATGAAGCATGAAATAAATGCAGCATATCAAAACAATTGAAGTTGTTGAGTACACAAGGCATGATTAATAATACAGGATGAAGCACCTATGGAGAACGAGAACGAGAACGTTGATTTTTTGGTGAAAGATATAATAAGAAATGAATAAGATCTTGGTAAAGCGGTCATTTCTTTTAGGTACTTTTAATAAGTTATACCATTCCAGAGGCCACGATCCAATAAACCATTTGTACAAATTTGATCAACTTAAGATTGTGTGTTGGTCAACTTAAGATTGGCGAAAAGAAGCATCAAAATATTATAGACGATTGAGATAGCGAGGATCAATTGAGTTTCAAGTTTTAATTCTTGTCGATCATAATTGTCTAACTGTATAACGCAAGAGGATAGTTAAATGTGGTGAGTGAGAAAATTGCAAGGTTGCACCCGACCCAAGCTGCTAAGGACAAACCATCAATTACTTCTACCAACCCAAATGATCTTTAGGCAGATAAAGATGCGCCATTACAACAGGAAGACGGTAAAAGCAAGCAAGCAAAAGATGAAAATGATAGTACCATGATAAATGAAGAGCATGAGACAGTCAGTAGTCTTAACAAAAATGTGTGTAGAGAACGTCAGAAGCTGACAAATAAAAATAGAAGAATTGATGCATTTATAATTTACATTAGGACCTTATTTTAGTTCTTTCAGTTTCTTTACATTACGGACTCATTTATGTTTTATTTTATTCCCCCAAATACACTTTTCTTAGGCTGTGATTTTATATTTTTATTACTATGATTTGAAATGGAACAAATACAATATATTTATAAATTAATTATTTTTATTTACTTGAAACAATTCACGTTCCTAAAGAAAGTACGCTGCATGTGGCATTTACTAATTAGATCAAACTTAAGAGTACCTTTCACAATTCAATAGTACTAGAAAAGTTTTTTCTTTTTTTTTTTTAACCAAAAATAAACACTTACCTGAGCAGTTCTGTTAGGGAGTGGCACTTCCAGGCAATATCTAGCACCATCGACTCTGCAAATCGAATCAATGGCAAGAGAACAATCACAAAAACCATGTCAAATGTTGTAGGCCTTCTCATTGAGTAAATGTCAACAGGAACTGAACACTAAAATTCACCTCCTGCTAATGGTCCTCTGAGAATATTGATCTTTAACAATTAATCCTCGACCACCATAAATAACATCATCTGTATTCAACACAATCTGCACAGTTTTTAAAAATTAGTATAACAATATATTTAGCATGTGGTTTTTGAAAATGAACCAACGTGAGGAATATAACCATATATTAAACTTTGTGAATATTTAAGAACCAGTAAACAATGTGCATGGCCCCGCACCAACTCCAGGGAAATAAAAATGAAAATATGAAAGTATATAACTTAAAAAGGAAAAAGAAAATCTAAAGATAGGTGGCAACCAGTTCCAACTAAATTAAAGATTTCACTGTTTGGGTGGATTGAATATACTTACTTGATATTCTCCAGCTTCTTCAACACCTATGCGATATCTTTCATATGAATTTGTTGGGTGAAAATTGAAGACCAAGAGAAAAGGACCTCGTAAGTAAGATATCACCTGGTCACACATACATCCATTATTTAATATATACAATTTACATAAAGAGCAAGGAAATGGCAAATATAGTATGTTTTACCATCATTGCATCATTGACATGGTGAATATTCGGAAGAACTCTTGAACCTTTCAGGAGTATTTTTCCATCTTCATCCAGTTTCATCATGTCCTGGAAGTATATTTCATTATTAAATCTGAAATATTGTGATGTACATACATATCTATAAAATAAGGATCTTATAGAATGAAAATTGGAATAATTATAGTAGCAATAACACAGAGCTCTAGAGCGAACACACATGATTTTAATTTAACAGCAATATTATAATTATGTATCCAACTCACTTTATCAAAAACAAACAATTTGCGATGAAATTCGTCCTCCAAAAGCTCCCAGTGACGGTTAGCAAGTGAATAGGAAAATTTGTTGCTCGACATTGGGAACTCGACCCTCTGGAGAAAAGGTAAAAACTATCAAGTCTGAAATGCACGTCATTTATGCAAGGTAGTCAGATGTCACCTTTGGGTGCCCAAATTCATTGCCCATAAAATTGAGGTATGCTCGACCACCAACTGTAAATGTGATTAATCGGATCATCTGTGAAACAAGAAAGCCACAGTTGAAAAACTGCCTGTTTGACATACACAAGACTCGTGGCAAATCAGTAACTTGTTAAAGAACTTAGGGATTGATGACTTGAAAGAAAAACAGTCCTACTTCAGATGAAATTCACAATAAGATCAGTAGATGTGCCTAAAAACCCAATTACTAATATTCGTCAAGTATCCTTCAGAATATATACGCTTTATTTCTTAAACAGTGACCAATAAATTACGAGCAAAGGGCAGCACGTGCACAGTCAAGGAAGAGCTTGTAAGGGGGCCAACATTATTGAACACATAGGATAAAGAATTCAAGGAAGAAGTCATATGACAAAATGAGCATAGCATTAACCATTTACCTTATGCAAAGACGAGCCCCTAAGCAAGGCCTCCTCTGTGTTAGCTGAACCAAAAAGTATTTCAGCAAATGAACGCCCCCCTGAAATGGACTGGCAAGCAAGAACAGCGTGCATTTTTAAATCATAAATATGGTAATTAGCCGAAAAGATTGATCATACGTTATTGAAAATATTAATGAAAAGAAGATGATGGTCGGGGTGGAGGCACTGGAGGAGAATTTTTCATTTGGATTTAATAAATGGTCTTGGGTAGAACTCATCTTCAAAAGCTATCTCAAAGGGAGAGGGTGCTCAACCCACACTTATACACAATAACAACCCAAAAACTAACCGATGTGGGACAAACATAACTTCTAACAGGATTCATAAAGCACTACAAGATTAGATCACCTGGTTGTGATTTTCAGCATACAGAATCATCTTGTCAGCAGTGCATTTGTTTCCAGTCAAAGTACTCACAAGCTAGACATTAAAAAAAATAAAAAACGGAATGACAATAAGTACTTCTAATGGATAAACGTATTATAAGTTCAACCAGGGGACAAGGACTAATAAATTCTTGAGCTGCATGAAAAAACCTTAGTCATGCTCCATTCATGGTCAGGAACATTCTCAAGGAATGACAACCACAATTCTGATGCAGAGAGATTAACGAAATAATCAAATCCCAATCCACCTTGAGAAGTTGGTTCACAGAGTCCTGGATAAAGTGTGGCCTGACATTATATCCACCATTAAAAGAGATCAGAAGAGAAATGCTAGAAGCCATTTAGCTCGTGTGACAATTAAAATACATCTGATACATCATTGCACTCGGATATATTGTATCCACACAGACAAGTACGTATAGGATCAGAGAGATTAAAAAAAAAAAGTAAAAGACTAAGATTTGTTTCTGTTATCTTTTCGACCTTAAAGGCACTTGCAACATCCTGAGGATCAGCAATATCAAGTAAGAGAAATTATTTAGTACATGAACGCTTTTGGGTACGCAATAAAAGAAAAGGAGAACAATAACAATTCTACTATGTTTTTACTTCAATAAAAAAGAAAATCATCACCTTCAACTGGATCAATAGAAAGTAATCGGCACTCATACTCTAGGACAAGATCATAAAAATAACTCAAATATCAACATTTCCTAATCTACTAATCCTACCACTGTATCATGATGTTTGGTAAAGCAAACCTTCAATTCAGCAACCTTTTATTTAGCAGACATGAAAATCATATTTAAGCCAATGTGGCACTGTCTCAGGCTAAGTTAAATCATTTCCAAAAGGATGCCTCTTGCAATCAAAAGCCAATTAGAAAGGCACACAGTAGTCTGGTTAACTAATCAGAACTTCATTAAAGACAAAAGTTATGTCCAAACATCAATGAACGAAATTAACGACACAAGTACAAACCCTCTCCAACAGTTTATTGGAATAACAGCAGCTGTAGAATCGGGAAAGTATGAAAAGAAACCAAAAATAAAGATAAAAACAAATATCAGTACATTGGCACAAAATGCAATATACAAGAGAGGAGAAGTATAATTTATGTCTTACATCTTCAGCAATTGTCACTATATTTGGATGAAGGGCGTGCAATATCTCATTTGCTAATATGAGGTAGAGGAAAGCATCCTTGTCGACATATTGGTTACAGAACCTGAATAAAAAATAAAATGAGCTGACTCCTTCCGAACAAGAATATTTACAATCAGATAGAGGAGAATGTCAACTTTTTGCAAGGCTTGATGACAAATACACATAAGCAAAGACAATTTTTATCTCAATGTTCCTTAATAGATTATCAAATGCCTTACTCTTCCATATCGCCAGTAAGAGTAGTAAATCCATTGTGCGTATACATCATTGATGCGAGAGAATGAAAATTAAAGCCATCAATGTGGTATTCCACTATCCACCTGGAGAATGTCATTTTAGTTCCAATAAGTAGATCCGGTCGATATCCAAGTAAACAACATATAACATGAAAATAAGAATTAGTTATAAAAGATCAGGAAGACACAGAAGGTGAAGCACATAAAAAACTTTAGAAAATTAAAAGAAGGGTAAAGGGGCTACACAGTCACCAATTTAAATTTGAAAGAAGGAAATGCAACACATCATGGTCTCCATATCTGAACATCCTTGTGCCCCAAAATTTGTGGTGGCCTCTTTTACCTGGAATGACATGCAAATTGAACGACATACTTACTTTATAAGTCAAAATGCAGGTATTAGCTTGTATTGATAAAGTTCATTCAACAACTTTCATTTTCCCTGTTTTGCCATCTGCAAGTACAGTCAATGCCATCGGAAGCACTTTTGTGTTCCATTTTTATATTAATATCTTCAATTTGTCTAATAAGTTTTCTGACACAAATCAGATTCCATTTGCATGTTAATACAGCTCCATCAAATAAGAGGAGATATCAAATGATCACTCTGTCAATTGTATTATGAACTAAGCTCATGATGATGAAATAGAAAATCTCCATGCACAGTAACTATTAAAAAACAGCATTCATTTAGCACTGTGATAAATAGTAAACCTAAGGTGTAACACCCAGCCTTCTACTTCTAGGCTTTTAAAAATCAGAGTTAAATTTTTTTCTTTTTATTTTTGAAAAACGCTATCTTTATTTTCGAAAATACTATTACTGACACGCGGGATGTTACTAAACTCTACTTTATTGCTTTTCTTATCTCTTTAAGTATACAGAAATGCTATTTGCGCTCTGATACCAAACTGTAACACCCCGCCTTCTACTTCTAGACTTTTAAAAATCAGAGTTAAATTTTTACTTTTTATTTTCGAAAAACGCTATCTATTTTCGAAAATACTATTACTGACTCACGGGATGTTACTAAACTCTACTGCTTTTCTTTTCTCTTTCTCGTGCAGACATAATAAATACATGCAACCTAATCAAATCCATTATATATAGGTACCATGGAGATAAAGGCATTACATATGCATACTGTCTGAGATCTCATAATAACATGCTGGGTCTGAATATGCGGAAGCTAACATAGTTAATACACGCATAATAATACAACAACATACCCAGTATATTCCCAACAGGTTGGGGTCAAGGGGGTCAGTTGTACGCAGACCTTACCCTTGTAATTATACAAGGAGACTGTTTCCGTAGCGACCCAAGGTGCATTGCGCCGTTTGATATATTTTTTTCTAGAAACTTCACCAATAGAAGAAGCACTAGAATTTAATTGAGTCATTTTGATCTAGTCCATTATTAGCACTATGCCAGGAGAATTGTCAACAATGACTCTTCCAGCTCCATTTGCAATGGACAAAAATACACGCATAATAATACATGTTCAAATAAATGACACGAAAAATGCGTGTCAAAAATAACATCTGCTCATGACCACGTCCACCACGAGTGCTCACGAGCCACGCTGGACATTCCCATAACAATAGGAAGAATCAAAGCCAATATACACTATAACTATAGAGTTTTCGCCTACCTATGAAAAGTGAGATGAGAGCTTTGTGCTAATAATTGATTAGAAAGGCGCGATGATAATTGCCCAGGTCACCTCAAAAACCTAAAAAGAAAGTTAGTGGGGGCGTGAGCAAAACCAATATGCTCCGCAGAAATAAGTACGGAATAAAACAACATCAATAATAACAATATATGACTTAATCATATAAGAACTGAACTGAACTCGCCTTATAGCCCCTCGGCCGAAGCCGCTAATTCACGTGCACACTCTGATGGCACATTAAGGCCCATTGGGCCTCCACCAGAACCTAGGATGGCGCAATAAGGCCCGATGAGCCTCCACCCTAAGCGATAATACTTTTCTCATACATACCTCGGACATGGTACAGAAATTAAAGACAATGTGAAACTCAGTACGTGACCCCACCTGATATGCTGCGACTGCTAGGTAAGTGCGACTGGATGAGTGGTAGTTGTCGGAGGGCTCGATTCTCCTTGAGCTACATAGATATTTGAGCAAACTATCCTAAGTATTAATCTCAAAACTGGAAAAACTTGATTATTATTATCATCTTATCTTACTAGGTTCGCTTGCTCGATTTTTAAAATCATTTAAGCTCGATTTAGAAGATTTATGACCTAATCTGGGAAATTATTATCTTGAGGCATTTCTAAGTCTAGAGTGCTTATCTGGATAGGCTCTATACTGATCTGACTGGGTTCGGAAAAATACTGAATCTCGGTTCACGCTCAAACCGATATTCCGAATTGAAATTCCCGAATCGTCTGGTCTGTCCGAACTGATTCGGCTTAACTGGACCGATGGCCCGATCTAAACCGACAGGTCGCTCGTCTGACTAGGTGCAACTCACCGTGGTCCGGGTACATATGCATGTACACAGCTTCGCCGACCCACAACTTTTCTACTATAATTAACTATAATTGACACTTAAGGTCATGGAGAGGGAGATTAAGCTAATATACCTCAGAAACGACTCAAAACAAAAATCGGAACTCGGGAAAGACTAGGAAAATGGATCGGCTACTAGAAATCGGGTCGGGTCGTGTGGATCTGGTCGGTTCGGGGCTCGGTTCTAAGCTGTTGGTCACGGATCTGGTGGCTCGCGTGGATCAGCATTGAACGCGGCTCGTCGAGTGCGGATCGATGGTGGCTCGCATGGTTCGAGGCTGAGCAGCTCGTGGGACTCGCGGAACGGGGCTTACGCGAGCTGAACGGCGCGAGGTGCAGCGGATCTGAACGGTGCTGCACGTACGGACAGTGGACTGAGGCGTGAACGCTGAACGATACAGGACGCACGGAGCAGATCCGGGCCGTACGGGCGCGGGGTGCCTCTGCTCGGGACTGAAACAGGTCGTACGACACTTGGACAGGCGCGTATGGGCTAAACGGAGGCGTGCTCGAGCAGTGACGCGTGGTACGGACGGTGGCGACGGAGTGCTCGCGCGTTTGAGGTTGGGACGACGCGGCTCAGGTGCAGTGACGCGGGAATGGTGCAGCGACGCTAGGTTGGTTCGGTGCTCGCCTGCGGGGAGGTCGTCGGACGGCGGTTCGCTGGAGCTCGGAGGATGGCCTGATTTTTGGAGTGTGAAGGTGGAAGATGATGAATAGTGATGTTGGGCTAGGGTTTTGGAGTGTTGGGGAAGGAGATGGAATGTATGTGGTATTTATACACATGTGAGAAAACTAAGGTTTTCTTGTCTTGTTGGGCTTTTAAATTGGGCCTCTACAATTAATCGACTTGGACTCGGTTATTTTAAAAATGTTAACTGGGTCTAGATAAAATTTTTTGCTAGGATTTAAATATCTCGATTAAATAATTGTGCAGATTAGCCAAAATAAAATGGCTCACTTAAATGGGCCCGAAAGCTCGTTCGAGAATCAAATAAATTCTCGACTTTTCTAATACTCGATTAATTAATAATCGCATAATTTATTAAGTCTCAAGTCTAAGCCATGGAGAAACCGTTCGAATTTTATTTCGCAAACGAGATAAAATATTAAGTCTAAGTCTTGATTTATAATTTAATCTAGTATTAGAAAAGTCGGGAATTTATTTAATTTCCGAACGAGCCCAATTTTCGGGACCATTTAAGTGAGCCATTTTATTCCAGCCAACCGGCCTAATTATTTAAATGAGATATTTAAATCCTAGCCAAACATTTTATCTAGACCCGATTAACATTTTTAAAATAACCGAGCCCAAGTCGATTAATTGTAGAGGCCCGATGTAAAAGCCCAACAAGACAAAAAAACCCTAGTTTCTCACATATGTATAAATACCACATACATTCCATCTCCTTCCCCAACACTCCAAAACCCTAGCACAACATCACTATTCATCATCTTCCACCTTCATTCTCCAAAAATTCGGCCATCCTCCGAGAAACGCCGTCCGACGACCTCCCAGCAGGCGAGCACCGAACCAACCTAGCGTCGTTGCACCATTCCCGCGTCATTGCACTTGAGCCGCGCCATCCAGACCTTAACCCCGCGAGCACTCCGTCGCCACCGTCCGTACCATGCGCTCGAGCCCACCTACGTTCAGTCCGTACGCGCCCGTCCATCGTTGTACAAGTGTCGTACGCCCCATTCCAGTCCCGAGCAGAGGCACCCCGCATCCGTTCGCACCCGGCCCGGATCTGCTCCCGTGCATCCCGTCCCGTACCGTTCAGCGTCCATACGCCCGTTCACAGCCGTTCAAATCCCGTGCACCCCGCGCAGTTCAGCTCGCGTCAGCCCGTTCCGGCGAGTCTCATGACTAGTGACAAGCCGCTCAGACCCGAACCGTGTGAGCCACCATTGATCCGCACCCGACGAGCCACGTTCAGTCCCGATCCACGCGAGTCATCAGCACCCAGCACCAGATCCGTGACCAACAGCTTAGAACCGAGCCCCTTAGTCCCGAACCGACCAGATCGACACGACCCGACCCGATTTCAAGTAGCCGATCCATTTTCCTAGTCTTTCTCGAGTTCCGATTTTCGTTTCGAGTCGTTTCTGAGGTATATTAGCTTAATCTCCCTCTCCATGGCCTTAAGTATCAATTATAGTTAATTATAAAAATGCTAAGTGAGGATTTTGAGCTAGATAGGATTTATTGGATTAAATGGCTATAAATTTGCAATTTATTAAGGGCTGAACCGAAAAATGCGAAACCAAGTTGATTAATTCTATTTAGATGTCTTGAGGCTTAGGTTTTAATTTCGTGAATTTTGGTGCCCGTTTGCTATGTTAACTGGATTTTTGAATATAGAGCCGAAATGCCCGATTTTTGTTAAATGAGTTAGAGACTTCGAAATGTTGTGATATTTTTACCATAAATTGTATATATACTGAAGAGGTTGTGTTAAATTTTCATGATTTTTTGATGTCATATGATATAATTAAAAATTTGGGACTTTAGCCTCATTTTACGAAAATTCTATAAATTGATTCGGTTCAGACTTAGGGGCCTAAAATCACTATAATCATGTCGAACTTAGGGTAAAGTTCGGGTTAAAATGAGTAAGTTTGCCTGTTGAGTAGAGAACCCTAGTTCGGCCTTTTTCCGAACAGTCCGGATGAATTCTAGATCCGAGTAAAAAAGTTGTGCGTCGGCCAAGCCGTGTCCGTGCGTATGTACCCGGACCACACCACAGTTGAACCGAGTTACACCTAGTCAGACGAGCGATCGGTCGGTTCAGATCGAGCCGCAGGTCCGGTTCAACCGAATCAGTCCGGATAGATCCAACGATTTGGGAGTTTTAGTTTGGAATATCAGTTTGAGCGTGAATCAAGATTCAGTATTTTTCCGAACCCAGGTTAGCTCTCGGACTTAGTATTTTTCCGAGCCTAGCAGAAAAATTAGATAAGTTAGTTCAGATAGATCAGATAAAATCAGATAAGCAGTCCAGACTTAGAAATATTTCAGAGAACTCTAGAAATGTCTCAAGACAATAATTTCCCAGTATCTCTAAATCGAGCTTAAATGATTTTAAAAATCGAGCGAGCGAACCTAGTTAGGTCAGGTGATAATAATAATCAAGTTTTTCTAGTTTGAGCTTAATACTTATGATATTTTGCCTAAATATCTATGTAGTTTAAGGAGTCGAGCCTCCGACAGCTACCACTCATCCAGTCGCACTTGCCTAGCAGTAGCAGCATATCAAGTGGGGGTCACGTACTGAGTTTCACATCGTCTTTAATTAATTTCTGTACCATGTTCGAGGTATGTATGAGAAAAGTATTATCGCTTAGGGTGAAGGCCCACCAGACCTTAATGCGCCATCGTGGAGGGCCTTAATGCGCCATCAGAGTGTGCACATGAATTAGCGGCTTCGGCCGAGCGGCTTTAAGCGGAGTCCAGTTCAGTTCTTATATGCTTAAGCCATGATATTGTTATTATTGATGTTGTTTTATTCAGTACTGATTTCTGCGGAGCATAGTGGTTTTGCTCACGCCCCCATTAGACGAAGTCCAGCGTGGCGCATGAGCACTCGTGGTGGACGTGGTCACGAGCAAATATTATTTTTGACACGCATTTTTCATGTCATTTATTTGAACATGTATTATTATTATTATGCGTGTATTTACTATGTTTAGCTTCTGCATCTTCAGACCCAACATTATATTATATTATGAGACTTCAGATAGTATGATAGTATGCATGTGTAATGCCTTTATCTCCATGGTACCTATATATAATGGATTTGATTAGGTTGCATGTATTTATTATGTCTGCACGAGAAAGAGAAAGAGAAAGAGAAAAGAAAAGCAGTAGAGTTTAGTAACATCCCGCGAGTCAGTAATAGTATTTGCGAAGATCGATAGCGTTTTTCGAAAATAAAGAGCAAAAATTTAACTCTGATTTTTAAAAGTCTAGAAGTAGAAGGCGGGGTGTTACATAAGTTCGAACTTAATTATACTTATTCTGAGAGGGCACACATAAGCACGCAAAGTTTAAAATTTCACCTGTAAATTGGTATTCATGAAAAAGTTCAAAATCACATCAACACAATGATGCAAACCGTAAACTAATAATTTGGAGTTGAACATGGATCTAACTGACTTGATAAAGTAGTTTCACACTATAAAAACTGGCAGAATAACACTAAATGAAATTGACGACTAAGTATCTAAAATAGACGATAAATGTTTTACCAGAGTGGAAGTAGCAATCATTTGCTCCATCAAAAAATGATAACCCAACCATTTCATCAGCTGCAGCATATGAATGAACGATATCTAGGAAAACAAGAAAACCAAGCCCTGCACATTATAAAGAGAACATTGAGTTACATAAGCTTAACAAGAATCTTACAATTAATTATGGAGACTCATTAGGTGTTGGAAAAAGCTTGTTTGGTCTTCCAATAACCCCCATGATGTCAGCATAACTGAAAATTGAATTATAAATGCTTAGTGATCTTTAGCAGAACATAACACTACAAAGGGCATTCTACACAGCAGAAACACTTCTGGACTTCCAAAGGTCGACCATAATCAAGATGCACAAAGCCACAAACCTCTGGAACTATTAAATGCTTGTGCACGAGCCTATGCAAACAGGGTTGAAATCCCTGAATTTCTGGGGGCACTAGCAAGAAATTGTATTCTAAAAGATAAAGAATTGACAGATTTAATCTTTCATTGACAAAGTAATGGGGAGACATTTTGTTATCCATTTTTCTCCCCAAAAAGGTCCTAGTTAGTAGTGTTTCCATACCTATGAGTGTCAGCAGAGGAAATCCTAGTGGTATAGACCAATCAACGCCTACCGCCTATGATTCAGACAGTTATCTAGTAACCCTTAAAAGGGAAAATCGGTCCACAACAGAAGTTCCTTGTTGTTGCATCAGGCCACACAAAAATTGTGAAGTCTAAACTCCAGTTGAAACTGGAATGATTTGTTACCCTGCCTAGTTTATTCTACTAAAGATAACTATTCAATCCATTAAGCACCTAAAGCCACTTGTCATTACATGATTAAAAATATATTATCCCCCAAAGACCTGTCTCAAAAACCTGTGAGAAATGAAGAGAGACAACCATGACTAGTTTTTGCATGTACTTTTACATTCAGCTTTCATAAGTCAATATTATATCAAATAGATCTAAGCTTTCAAGTAATTCTATTAGCTGCAGATGTAATTCGAAATAACCATGTGCTTCATCCACTAATCTCTTGAAGTCTTCAGGTGTGCCGAAACGGCTGCTAACAGCAAAGAAATTTGTCACCTGCAAAAAGGGTGTAATCAGATGAGGCAAAACTGATAAGGGAAATTATCATTATACCGTAGCACATCTCAGGAATAAAATATCCCTTCTCAGTTCATTAAAATTTCATATTCTCCTCAAACATCATAGAGTATTCTCAAAAGAATCCAGTCAGGTCAAATATTTAGCAGAAGAAAGGGAATAACAAATTTCACGAACATGATGATGTATTAAGGAGAAGCATCAGCCATTTGGAGAGAAGGTAATGCATATTGAATTTGACATTCTTAGCATACAGTTAGAAGCCTTGAAAACTCACCCTATAGCCAACAGTGAAATAATCTTTGTGCTCAGGAACTCCAATCAATTGTATCGCATTGTATCCAGCTTCCTTTACATGAGTTAAAACCTAAAATCACAACGAATAAGTCAGTAACACTTATCATTTTGTAATAAACAAGATAAAGAACAACAACAAGATTACAATAGAATAGAAGTAGACACATTTAGAACTTTTAAAACAGAAATTTACATTGTCAGTGAACTCATTGAAGCTAGAAACTCCAGGATCCTTTCCACTTATCCCAACATGGCACTCATAAATTCGCAAAGATTTTGGCTTTGGTGGATGCTTATGTTTCCATCTGTAGGCACTTTCAGGAGGCAGTTCCCAATGAACAGCAAAAGGTAGATTGCCATTTGCTTCTGCATATCCAAATCACAATTCAGCTAAAATTGATTGGAAACCATAGTTCATCTACAAGTGATTGAGAATTGAGATTCAACTGATAGAATTCTTTAGATTGAGGGGATCATTGATCCGCTAAACAAAATGTCTAGATTGATAGAAGAAACAAATGCAATCCACAAAATAAACATTAAAATGACAGAAAAGCATTGATGACCGAATATCGGTGTTTCTAATATTGGCAATGCCCAGCTATATACAATTTATCTGTCTAGTTTAACAGGGAAAGCTAACTACAAACTTGACTGCTAGTGGATACTAGTGATATGGCAAGCAAAGCCCCTGATGGAATCAAATGACATGAACAATTAAAATTGCTGAAGTCAAAGTCTAAGAATAGCATTGCTTTTTGGCATATCATCCAATTTTCACATTACTATCACTAATAAGTCAACCAGTGAGATGCATTTAGAGAGTCTAGAAGCAGTAAGCAGAAGCTAGTACTGAGTTCATCAAGATTTTTTTTACTACAATCACAGAGTCAGATGCATGAATCAAAGTTAAGCAACAAGTAGTTGTAAGAACTTTATATCACGCATTCCTCAAGACAAACTGTACATATTAAAATTCGAGCCCGATAAATTTGTCATATAAAATGATAAAAGAATTTTAAGCTCTGCTTATTTTACACTTTTTACATGCTCAGGAGGAGCAAATACTTGATGTATATGTGCATCCAACCTCATATAATCTTAAATAGTATATGTATAATCTTAACTTGCAAAATGAATATGAATCAGAGTCGAAACAAGCAGATTTCCGAGAAACAATAGTAACTTGTTCATTATAAGCTGTGATTTTCCACTTCCATCAGCATCTAAGTAATGTACCAAATTAGTTTATGGCTGCTCCAAATAAGAAATCAAATGGCAGAAAATATCTAATTAGAAGCAGCACAACAGTGAAGCAACAAATGAGTACCAATGCAAGCATTATCTGACCTGGAACCACATAAGTAGCCCAAGCAGGAATTCTCTCCAAAGGCCCCATTGATGTGTTGAAGTACACCCTGTATTTGCTTCCATGGGGAATCCCAGGACTATACTTTTTTAACCAAGCTTTCCTTCCTTTACGAGTCTCCAGCCAATATGGAATAGGGGGCTTCTTAGATTTGAATTTCTCTTGCCATGCAGGATCAGTTATGACTTCAAACTCATCATGGTCTTTTCCATCATCAATCACATCACAAGGTGGAAGGTTGCTAGGAGGATCGTCTTTATGCTTCTCTTTCCATGCTTTGTATCTTGTTTTCGGGTCTGGTATTTCTTCCAGTTCCTCTTCCGTCTGCGGCCCATTAGGCCCAAATATTTGCTCAAACAATTTTGCTGCTAACTCGAAACGTGAATTTATGAACCGGTCTTCGCCAGGTTCCCAGTACTCATCATTAGCTCTCTGGAAAACTTCTTCAACTGTAACACCACTGTCACCTTTATCATAATCGTCGACGTAATTGTACTGTTGGAAGTACACTTGGTCAGGTTCTTCTCCGTCCTTTAGTTTATCTTCAAGAATTATGAACCAGTAGCCATAGTCATCATGGCCAAGATGACCCTCCCTGGCAGAATTCTCGGTTGGTGACCAACCATTAAAATCCCCCACCAGAGAACAATAGCGAGCACCTGACACCAAAAAGTTCAACAATGTGAACACCCAAGGAGCAGGAAGAAAAAGGAAAATATAGAAGGGATTTCTCTTCAGTAAGTCTTTTTATGGTAAAATCCTCAAGTTAGTTCATCACGGTTTCAAACAACACTCCACAGACAAATTTGCTAGTAAATCTTCTAGTCGGATCATCCTGGTACCAAACTATGCTCCATGCACTAATTGCACATTCTCAAACGTCATTTTAATTTGCCAGGCATATATACTAAGACAATCGATCAATATTATTACAAGATATGTCAATTTTCTTTACTTGTAGTAGAAAGGAATGGCATCACACAATCTAGATTTTATAGTTAAGATGTCTGACAAGTAGAAGTCAATTTTCCCAACCTGGAGCCCAGTCCATGAAATCCACACGGTGCTGCACATTCCGGTGCATGCCAAGTATCTCGAACCTATGAAAAGACCCACACACACGAAAAGAAAATCAGGAAAATGAAACCAAATAACAATATGACCCATATTCAAACTAAAATGCCCGAAACCAATCAGGGTGCATATTCATGTGCTGACATTTCAAGGGTGCAGTTTTTGTTATCAGAAATGTGATTTTTTTTTTCCAGGAGCTCAGACACACCTAAATAGTTATAAAACAAGAGAAGAAAATAATAAAAGATAACACAATTCCCTCAAAATACACGCGCATAACATCATTAAATCTTACCCAGAAGCCAGCTCATGAAGATTGAGGTGGCGATAATACAAAACATCCTTCAAGTCCTTAAACGCCTTATGCCTGTAAACAAATTACATTTATCGCTAAAATCAATCCAGCCAGCTTAATATCTCAGTATATACAAGTACTGTATACACCCGTTCAAATGCATCAAGACGCATATAAAAAGCACATACAAACAGTGAATCACATAAGTGCACACTATTACCGCTCACGAAGGAACTGGGCAAAGGCTTTGTCCGTAATACCGTGTTTGGCGAGGAATCCGACAGGGTCGATGCCGTCATTTTTGTCCTCATCTAGTTGCTGTTGGCTCTTCTTGCGCGGCCTCTCAGAATTCTGCCGCTGCTTTTGGGGACCTCTGGTTTGCGGCTGGGATTGGTCACCAGCTAAGCACTTTCTTCTGTACGCATTGGTGTTAATGTTTGGCGGAAAGAGGATTTTGGCACCGGCGTAATTTGTCTTTGAAAATGGAGGATTTATGGGAAGAGTAGAAAACCGAGGCGATTGTGTGAGAGAAATCATGGCTCATGTTAGAGTAAGCTGCTAACTGACTGCAGATAAGGGACACAAGGAAGGTGGGAAAGACAACATATATATGCGGGGGGTTTTTGAGTTTTTCCTCTAACAAAACCCCTTACGTGAGCATAGATCAGTTTACTCGGTTTTTTTACCAACAAAAAATAAAATAAAATAAAGTGGACAAAAAAAAAGAATAAAAAATGAATGGACAAAGATCGAAAATTCGTATTCAGCAAATACGTTTTTAATAGAAAAAAGTATTTATACAATACGGTTTATTGAATTTTCCACAATAAACCGTATTCATCTAATACGTTTTAAATTAGAATAATTAATTATTAATTAAGTAAATTAATCAAACATAAAACGTATTAGTAAAATACGCTTTTTTACTAGGAAAAAAGAAAACGTATTTTCTTAATGCGTTTTATAATTTATTTTTTTGTAGAATTTTTTTTAAATATTAAACCGTATTTCTAAATTAGGTTTTAAAAAGGAAAAAAAAATTAAAATTTATATGAATGCAGAAAAAAAACTTCAAAAAAATTGGTAAAATAGAAATAATAAAACCGTATTCAAGTAATACGTTTTTATGTGAAAATTACATTGACCGTATTCCTGGAATACGTTATTTATAAAATCAATTTTAACCTAAATCAATTTCATTAAAAACGTATTTCAAAAATACGTATTTGAAAAATCAATTTGGGGCAATTCAATTTGGATGAACACGTATTTGAAAAATACGTTTTCTAAGTAAAAAAGAATGAAAACGTATTAGTGAAATACGATTTTAGCAAAAATCCCTAGTAAACTATTAGAGATCATTTTACAACCAAATATACTTGTTCACAACCAAATATACATGTTCGAGCAACTAATATCAACATATTCTCCCAATAATAATCCGACATACACTATAAACAGACAAATGAAACACAAAAATTTGTTGAACAAACAATATATACAAAACGATATAATTCGTTTATACAGACAATCCAACAATTCAAAATGAACACAAAATCCAAGAATTCAACACAACTAACTAGGAAGGAGTGTATGGATCCCTAGACTTGCGCAGCCTGGACCCCTTCCGAGTATATACTATGTGAGAAGAAGACGAAGGTTGAGGTGTGAGAAGCGTGTCAGTTTGAAAAGCTTGCGCATTTTCATCTTATTCATCTGAGTAATTCAATTGAAAAAAGAAATCATAAATTGGACTGAAAAAAAAAAAGAGAAGAAATTATTAATTTAAAAATCTCACCTTGTTGAGGCTTGGGCTGCTCAGGTTGGAGGTGCTGGGCGGACGGCTGAGCGCGGGGACGTGCCCGAGGTCTTCTACCCCCACCAATGTTGGGGACGGGTTGATGTCTGGCTGTGTGTGACTGTATCCTCATGGTGCGAATGTATTCATCCTGGGAGAAAACTTGACTGGACGGCCCCCCATGTGGAACACCCTGGCTCCCAACGGTCAGAGAAGAGAAGGCAAAGTTGTACGACTGTTGGAAGGCGGTCTGCGCTTCTGGAGGGATTTGAGGCATTAATGGTTGAATATCGGATAATGCGTCATAAACCCCCTGTAGTCCAGAAGTCTGTAAATAAAATTCATAATAATTAGTATGAAACACAAAAAAATTAAATTAATAATAATAATAAACACAAATAATGAACACTTAGCTGACAGCCTAACCGCTCGGCAAGTGGCTGATACCCGCTCGCCTGTTGGAACACCGGGTAATTGTAGGGTTATTGATGAATCTCACAGTCCTGTTGTGAAACCATTCAAGGTAACCCTGCTCCAGCTGCAGATAGTCGTACACAGGGGCAACTGGGAGGAGACGTTGTTCTCTTTCTTCGGTCTACGAGCTCAGAAACGGTGCATGGAATGCGGCTCAATCATAAAATGCCCTCTCAGTCATCCCCTGACCTCTGTGGTGTGTGTCCCAGTCTCGCTCATCCCGAATGATCGGATTTAGGGGATGGACTGGCGACACCTAAATTGACGGAGGACCCTATCAGGCAGGTGTACCTCCCGGGTGTTCCAACTGAAGATCCACCCCCGGTACATCCAACATTGTGGATCTTTTGTGCACGCATCCAGGAGAGTATCATCCTCCAGGTGCTTTTGATAGGGCTGTCAGTGGAACTGTAAAAAAAGTAACAATTGAATGAGTAATTAAGTTATTACAAAATTAAAAAACAAAAAAGCAAAGACAAATCAAGCAATAGAAATTAAGAATATTACATCATTCTCTCCCAACCCTGTCAACTGATCCCGGTAGGCGACCAATGTATTGGCTATGTTTGACTTCTTTTTCGGTCCCACCCACCTTAAAAATCACAGAGAAAAAAGTTTGTAATCACAAAATTTGATAATGAAAATAATGTACGGATTAAATAAAAATAAAGGTGATTACCTCGCTCCCAATGGACAATCAGGCAGAGTATCAAACCTACTGGTCTTCACTATTGGGCGAATACGAGGGATATGCTCCCATGCCCAAACCTACACAAATGGACATTAACTTTGGATTATGTGCTGCTTGCTCTGCCTCGGTGGTCGGAGGATCCTGAGAGTGGTTTTTCCATATTAAAAATGACAAAATTGAGTTGACATATATTTAAAAAAAATTCTATGAAAAAATATACTTGAACATAGGGCTCAAACCCTAGCAAGTCCTTGCACCTCTCTCGCCATTGTATGGGTGATAGATCTTCTGTCACTCCCACAACAACAGCTTCATTGATTGGCAGACCGAACAGGACTTGTACGTCCTGGAGCGTGATGGTGGCCTCGCCGAAATCGAAATGGAAGGTATTCGTCTCTGGGCGCCACCTCTCCACGAGAGCAGTAATGAGGCTGTTGTTGGCTTGGATTCGACCCATTCGAAACAAAGGTCCGAAATTAGTCCGGTCGATGACCTCCCAAACCGACCGTGGCTGACTTCACAAAGCCTCCCAGAACTGACCGTCGAAACGGCGGTTTGTAAGCGTCGTGTCACGAGCTCCCGACGCATTATCAAATACCGCCTGTGACCGGTGGCGGTACTGGAGATATAGAAGAGTGCCATCCCTCGGACCGGGATGGACACTGTACTGCTGAGGCTGTGAGGAGGACGATTAAGCCATTTATCTACAAACAATACAAAAAGAAAATATTAGGATTAAGGTTATTTATTAAATTAATGATAGCCTGATGTTTATTTATGAATTCTAAATAAATTAGAAGGTATGAAAGAAAATTTTTTCTTAAAAATTTAAATAAAGTGAACCAATATAAAGAGGACGTACTGTCATTAATTAGTAAAAATTAGAGTTTACAATGTGGTAGTAAGTTCCATCCGACCGGCGGCCGTGTGTCTGGATTACCAATCGGAACAAAACTCCAATTAGAAAATTGAGCTACCCAGTTCTCCGTCCAAAAGTGGGGATCGTACAAGAACTTTGGTGGAGCCCCAAGTTGACGACACACAGCTATAGCATGAGAGTATGGTTGTCTGTCCTAAGAATTGTCGTAGCATTAGGGTTCTTCCCATCAAACAACTTACCGAATGGCAGATATGTTTCCTAGCCAAATAGAGCACATAAAGCATTTAATAGATATTAGCGATAAAACTTGTACTCAACAACTTCAAATGGACCGTGATGTCTTTGGTAGGTTATGCTATTTATTGGAACACGTTGATAGAGTACAAAACATAAGAAATGTTCAGATAAGTGAACAAGTTGCAATGTTTTTGAGTGTGTTAGCCCACCATAAAAAAAATGTAGTCGTAAAGTTTGATTTTAAAAGGCCAAGACAAACAATTAGCAAATTATTCCATAATGTACTTGATGTCGTCCTTCAAATCCACCCGTTTCTTGTTGTATAACAAAGCCCAGTGGATGAATCGTGTACTGACTAGAGATGGAAATGGTTTAAGGTGACGTTATAATAATCTCTAATTGTTGTAACTCATTTAATATTTGTGAATGAATTGCTTGGTTAATATTTGATTTTATCTCATGTACATGGATGCTTAGTTGTACTTGATGGCATGTATATACCTGTTCGTGTCCCTTCACACCTACACCCTCGGTATCGGAATCGAAAAGGTTTTGTTTCTGTAAATGTTCTTGGTGTGTGCAATCAAGAAATGAATTACTCGTATGTACTAACTGACTGGTAAGGGTCCGCGGCAGACAATCGTGTCCTACGGGATGCCGTGCATGGAAATGGGGGGTTGCGTGTGCCCATCGGTAAATATATTAAAAATCTATTATGTTAAGTAAAACTAAAATTTCCATTTAATGTTACAAACACAAATCTAATTGTTAGTAATTAAAAAAAACAGATATTTACTATTCGTGGTTTGTGTGTTTCGAAACCAGTAAATTATTACCTCTGCGACTAAGGACAAGGAATAGTGTGAACAAATATAAAAGTTGTTCTTTTTTAATTGTGCTATAAGAAAACTAAAATTGAGAACATCAATGAGAAGTGCAGTTTGGTTCAGTCGACGCTACCTTTATGGGTACTACCCGCTTTTACTATGCTCCAATTAGAGACAGCCACGTGGAACCCAACCACTTTTCATGTTTCTCTTTTTCTTTTCGGCCAAAATTCACGCTGAAAGTATTTTAGCTTTTTTTATTTATTTATTGACCTGCTTGTATAAACCATACCATGGTTATCTTTTTAGTAAAAAAAATTAATGAAAAACAACCTGTAAAATATCGTGCAAGATCTGAAAAATTTGGTAGCATCTCTCGTCGCCCGAAAATCATATCATCTCGACTGAAAAAAAAATTGTCGCTCAATCTACCCGAAATCGCTCAATCTCGCGAAGGAGGCGATTGAAAAAAATTGTAGTTCTTCTCGAACCACAGGTAGAGAAATTGTATTTACTGCGCTTGTTGATTGCTTGTTGTTCGATTTACTGCGTTTCGTAGATTTTTCTAAATAATGAATGACAATTATGGGCATTGCATAGAGTATTAGGGAATAATGTAATATTAGGAATTTTTTTCTGAAGCAAACGATTTTTTTTTTTTTTTTTNTTTTTTTTTTTTTTTT